GAGGAGGGAGTGAGGAGAGTGAGGAGGAGGAGAGGAGGAGAGGAGGAGTGAGGAGAGTGAGGAGAGGAGGAGAGGAGGAGGAGGAGAGGTGAGGAGGGAGTGAGGAGAGGGGAGAGTGAGGAGAGGAGGGAGAGGGAGGATAGGGTTGAAGAGAGTGAGGATAGGTTAAGGGTAAGTATGAAGACAAGAGGAAAGTAGAAAGGCATAAGAAACAGAAGGAGAGAGGAGAGAGAGAGAGAGAGAGAGAGAGAGAGAGAGAAGAGAGAGAGAGACTGATCAGAGGAGGACGTGTTTTAAATGGATGAGATGATCGTGAGTATTCTGACTTATTGCACGTACGGTGGTGGGCGGGGTAGTGGGCGTGGTGGTAGGGCGGGGTAGGCGTGGTGGTTGTGGGCGGTGTTGTGGGCGTGGTGGTTGTGGGCGTGGTGGTAGCATGGTGGTAGTGGGGCGGCAGGTAGTCGGCGTGGTGGTAGTGGGCGGCGGTAGGGCGGGGTAGTGGGGCGGTGGTGGTGGGCGGGCGTGGTTGTGGGAGGGGTTGTGGCGTGGGAGGGGTTGTGGGCGTGGGAGGGGTTGTGGGCGTGGGAGGGCTGTGGGCGTGGAGGGGCTTGGGCGTGGGAGGGCTGTGGGCGTGGGAGAGGTTGTGGGCGTTGTAATGGGAGGGGTTGTGGACGTGGGAGTGGTTGTGAGTGGTGATAGTGGGCGTGATAGTGATGGGCGGTAGTGGTTAGTGGTGGGCGGTAGTGGGCGTGGTGGTTGGATGTTACTTGAATCTCGTTGTGAGTCATGGCCTCTCTCTCTCTCTCTCTCTCCTCTCTCAGTGACAAACACAAGTCAGATGTTCACAAGAAAAATGTTTCGATCATTGAACTCATGTGACCAAAACAACGACTTCTGAACACCAGTAGAACAATGAACAGAGAATAAACACATGGTGAAATAGGTTCCAATCCATCGAAATTGGATCCAATCAACTGATTATAATTTAACCTATTTGGATTGGCGACTGTCCTAATAGAGGGTTAGGTTGTTAGTTGCTAGGTTGTTAGATAGGTTGGGTTAGGTTGAATAGGTTGGGTTAGGTTAGTTGGGTTGGGTTAGGTTGTGTGTGTGTGTGTGTGTGTGTTATCATGATGGAGACGACAAAGAAGAAGAGGAGGTGGAGGAGGAAGAGAAAGAAGGAGGAGGAAGAGAATAAAAGAGCTCTAGTAATATTTCAGATTCATCATCATCATTATCATCATCATTAGTTGGGCACCAGTTATATTAAAATACAATGATAAGTAAACACAAAGATAATTAAAAAAGAATGAAATAATTGATAACTGTAGAACAGAGATATAAAAGAGGAACTCACTCACTCACCACCACCACCACACACTCACTCACCCACCCACCACTCACCACACACACTCACCACACACTCACCACCACCACCCACCCACTCACACACACACACACTCACTCACTCACTCACCACTCACCATGGCTTCAGTACACGACGCGAGATGCTTGGTATACCCCGAGTGCACTTGTAAACAAGGTTCAATCTGGGTCGTTTACAGTCAAGAGACGACCAAAGTTTGACAGAAAGAAACTGTTTATATCCTCAACAATGTGTCTCTCTTCTTCTCCACCTCCCTCTCCTCTTTCCTAGTCTTCATTTCTTCCTCTCTTCCTTCTTCTCCTCTTCATCCTCCTCCCTCCCATTTATTTCTCTCTCTTCCTCCTCCTTTCACCTCCCAAACCCTGCCTCTGTTTTCCTCTTCCACGCCTTCCCATCACATTGTCACCTCCTCTCCCCCTTCCTCCCTGTCCCATTCTCACTCTCCTCACCTGCCAGCCCCTTTCCTCCCTCCCCTACCTCTTCTACCTCGAGTAAACACGTTTATACAAAAAGATAACAACTCATAACAGAGAACTGAGGAGGATGATTGTACAACACACACACACGCACACGCACACACACACACACACACACACACACACACACACACACACACACACACACACACACACACACACACACCATAAAAAGCCTCCCGTTATAGACCTGAGTCAAGCTGATATGAGGAACAATTTATTGTGTTTTCTTTACTTGTTGGTTCACAACAAAATATTTACCTGCGGACTGAAGTATTAACTGGCAGGTAATTAGTAAATAAATACCTGATTTACAAGCTGCCAGGTAGTTAATTGTGCTCATAAGTCTCTGTTTTTACTCTCACTTTGGTCATACATACATATACATACATACATACATACATACATATATACATACATACATATACATACATACATACATACATACATATATACATATTAAATTTTATTGAAGTCTTTTGTAATGTGATAATCCCCAAACCTTCACCCTGAACTGTTGGATAAAGAGAGGCTGTGATTAAACCCATGACTAAGGTGTGCTGAGTTGGCATTTGTTGTCGCCATATGTGCCCTCATTAGTATATTAATCTTAACGTAATTCAGTTGATAAGTTCGGCTATAACAGAAGTCAGTTATGTAGCCAATGTCAGTCAAAAAGTCACATGTTTCCTGCTAAACGTTATAGGATTTCCCGCCCAAATCACAGAGTAATTCTCCCAAATCACAGAGTCATTCCCACTTAAATGTCACACAACATTTGCCGCCAAAACACACCCAACACCTGTCGTCTAAAAAATAACACAAACTGGTCCATCTTCATCAGCCAGGTAAATACTAACGGACCCTGAGAGCATTAACCTGAAGCTCCTATTCTGAGCGAGTACGTGAAGTCATGAGTACACCTGTCAACAACTAACAACAACTGGTATCACATAATCACTTAACAACAACAACAGCCTCTGGACACAGGATCAGCTGAACGCTACTCAATGGGGTGACAGAACATTGGGATTTCAGCTCACGAACGGCCTTGACTCCTGCATGACATATTGGTAGTCTCACGAACTCTGGTGGATCATGTAATTGTCACAAATAAATGTTTTCCTTGTTTGTTTTACTGATTCCTCTGTTTTTGTTTGATATTTGTGATATAATAGGTGACAAAATAATAATGAGATGAATAATTACTGTACAATAATAGCTACTATGATAATGATGATACATAATAATAATAATAATAATAATAATAATTCACATAACAAACACCTACAAACTTAACTCTCTCCATCTCTATTTCATCAACATATTAGCTCTCTCTCTTGCTCAATACCACTGCCCCTTCTTCCCATCCCTCCCCCGTCCCTCTCTTCCCGTCCTCTCTGTATAGGTCTGACAGTTGTGTGCAGGTTCTACTATTCAACACACACACAGCCGCCTCTCGTCCAGGACTCACACCATGAACGTTCCCTGCCCTCATCCATCACGTTTCCTGCCTCCTCCCCCCCACTAAATCCTTTCTTTGAGATGCGTGTTGTGTTGCATCCTCCTCTCTCTCTCTCTCTCTCCCCCCTCTCTCTCCACTCCCTACCTCTCTCCTTCTTCCATCTCTCTTTATTCCCTTTCTCTCCTTCTCTATCTTTCTCCTACCTCTTCACCTCTCCCTTCCTTTCCTTCTCCTATCTTCCTCCTCCTCCCGTTATCGCCTCTCCTCTTAATCCCTCCTGGTTTACAAAAACAATTTTACTTCTCTCTGTAAATACTGTACACCGTGACGACCAAATATTTCGTTTTACAGTTTTTACAAGTCATAAAATATTTCTACTTTACAATTTATTTTTCTAACTTCTGAAACTATTTTACTGTTTCGGAGTTTTCTATACACTTGATAACTGCTTTTACACGATGCCAGTCTCCTCCATACGACACAGTGCCAGTCTCCCTCAGTACGACACAGTGCCAGTTCCCTCAGTCATGACACAACAGTGCCAGTCTCCTCCATACGACACAGTGCCAGTCTTCCTCAGTACGACAACAGTGCTCTCCTCAGTACGACACAGTGTCTCCTCAGTACGACACAGTGCCAGTCTCCTCAGTACGACACAGTGCCAGTCTCCCTCGGTACGACACAGTGCCAGCCTCCCTCGTACGACACAGTGCCAGTCTCCTCAGTACGACAACAGTGCCAGTCTCTCAGTACGACACAGTGCCAGTCTTCCCTCAGTACGACACAGTGCCAGTCTCTCAGTACGACACAGTGCCGTCTCCCTCAGCACGACACAGTGCCAGTCTCCTCAGTACGACACAGTGCCAGTCTCCTCAGTATTACAGTGCCAGTCTCCCCTCGGTACGACACAGTGCCAGTCTCCCTCAGTACGACACAGTGCCAGCCTCCCTCAGCATGACACAGTGCCAGTCTCCCTCAGTACGACACAGTGCCAGTCTCCCTCAGCATGACACAGTGCCAGTCTCCCCTCAGTACGACACAGCGTCTCCCTCCAGTACGACACAGTGCCAGTCCCCTCCGTAGCGACACAGTGCCAGCCCTCCGTACGACACAGTGCCAGCTCTCCCTCAGTACGACACAGTGCCAGCCTCCCCTCAATGAAACAGTGCCAGTCTCCTCCGTACGACACAGTGCCAGTCTTCCTCCGTACGACACAGTGCCAGCCTCCCTCAGTACGACACAGTGCCAGTCTCCCTCAGTAACGACACAGTGCCAGCCTCCTCAATGAAACAGTGCCAGTCTCCTCCGTACGACACAGTGCCAGTTCCTCAGTACGACACAGTGCCAGTCTCCTCCGTACGACACAGTGCCAGTCTCCTCAGTACGACACAGTGCCAGTTCCTCCGTACGACACAGTGCCAGTCTCCCTCAGTACGACACAGTGCCAGTCTCCTCCTGTACGACACAGTGCCAGTCTCCTCAGTACGACACAGTGCCAGTCTCCTCCGTACGACACAGTGCCAGTCTTCCCTCAGTACGACACAGTGCCAGCCCTCCGTACGACACAGTGCCAGTCTCCTCAGTACGACACAGTGCCAGTCTCTCCGTACGACACAGTGCCAGCCTCCCTCAGTACGACACAGTGCCAGCCCCCTCGTGACACCCATCCTCAATGAAACAGTGCCAGTCTCCTCAGTACGACACAGCCAGCCCTCCCGACAAGTGCCAGTCCCCTCATGAACAGTGCCAGTCTCCCTCAGTACGACACAGTGCTGCCTCCCCTCAGTACGACACAGTGCCAGTCTCCCTCAATGAAACAGTGCCAGTCTCCCTCAGCACGACACAGTGCCAGTCTCCCCTCAGTACGACACAGTGCCAGTCTCCTCCGTACGACACAGTGCCAGCCTCCCTCAGTACGACACAGTGCCAGTCTCCTCAGTACGACACAGTGCCAGTCTCCTCAATGAAACAGTGCCAGTCTCTCAATGAACAGTGCCAGTCTCCCTCAGTACGACACAGTGCCATCTCCCTCAGTACGACAGTGCCAGTCTCCTCAACGACACAGTGCCAGTCTCCCCTCAGTACGACACAGTGCCAGTCTCCCTCAGTACGACACAGTGCCAGTCTCCTCCGCATGACACAGTGCCAGTTCCTCAATGAAACAGTGCCAGCCTCCCTCAATGAAACAGCGTCTCCTCCGTACGACACAGTGCCAGTCTCCTCCGTACGACACAGTGCCAGTTCCCTCAGTACGACACAGTGCCAGCCCCTCAATGAAACAGTGCCAGTCTCCTCCGTACGACACAGTGCCAGTCTCCCCTCAGTACGACACAGTGCCAGCCCTCCGTACGACACAGTGCCAGTCTCCTCCGTACGACACAGTGCCAGTCTCCCCTCAGTACGACACAGTGCCAGTCTCCCTCAGTACGACACAGTGCCAGCCTCCTCCATACGACACAGTGCCAGTCTCCTCAGGACGACACAGTGCCAGTTCCCCTCAGTATACAGTGCCAGTCTCCCCTCAGTACGACACAGTGCCAGTCTCTCAGTAGACACAAAGCCAGTCTCTCAGTACGACAGTGCCAGCCTCCTCCAATGAAACAGTGCCAGTTCCTCCGTACGACATAGTGCCAGTCTCTCAGTACGACACAGTGCCAGTCTCCTCAGTACGACACAGTGCCAGCCTCCTCTGTACGACATACAGTGCCAGTCTCCCTCAGTACGACACAGTGCCAGTCTCTCCGTACGACACAGTGCCAGTCTCCCTCAGTACGACATAAGTGCCAGTTCCCCTCAGTACGACACAGTGCCAGCCCCCTCAGTACGACACAGTGCCAGTCTCCCTCCGTACGACACAGTGCCAGCCTCCCTCCGTACAACACAGTGCCAGTCTCCCTCAGTACGACACAGTGCCAGTCTCCTCCGTACGACACAGTGCCAGTCTCCCCTCAGTATGACCAGTGCCAGTCTCCCTCAGTACGACACAGTGCCAGTCTCCCTCAGTACGACACAGTGCCAGTCTCCCTCAGTACGACACAGTGCCAGCCTCTCATGAAACAGTGCCAGTCTCCTCCGTACGACACAGTGCCAGTCTCCCTCAGTACGACACAGTGCCAGTCTCCTCCGTACGACAACAGTGCCAGCCTCCCCTCTTAGACACAGTGCTGCCCCTCAGTACGACACAGTGCCAGCCTCCTCAATGAAACAGTGCCAGTCTCCTCCGTACGACACAGTGCCAGTCTCTCCGTACGACACAGTGCCAGTCTCCTCAGTACGACACAGCCACCCTCCGTACGACACAGTGCCAGCCTCCCTCAGTACGACACAGTGCCAGTCTCCCCTCAGTACGACACAGTGCCAGCCTCCTCAATGAACAGTGCCAGTCTCCTCCGTACGACACAGTGCCAGTCTCCTCCGTACGACAGTGCCAGCCCCTCAGTACGACACAGTGCCAGTCTCCTCCGTACGACACAGTGCCAGCCTCAATGAAACAGTGCCAGTCTCTCCGTACGACACAGTGCAGTTCCTCCGTCACGACACAGTGCCAGTCTCCCTCAGTGAAACAGTGCCAGTTCCCCAGTACGACACAGTGCCAGCCTCCTCAATGAAACAGTGCAGTTCCCTCAGTACGACACAGTGCCAGTCTCCCTCAGTACGACACAGTGCCAGTTCCCTCAGTACGACACAGTGCCAGTCCCCCTTAGTACGACACAGTGCCAGTCTCCTCAGTACGACACAGTGCCAGTCTCCCCTTAGTACGACACAGTGCCAGTCTCCTCAGTACGACACAGTGCCAGTCTCCTCAATGAAACATTGCCAGTTCCCTCAGTACGACACAGTGCCAGCCTCCCTCAATGAAACAGTGCAGTTCCTCAGCGACACAGTGCCAGTCTCTCAGTACGACACAGTGCCAGTCTCCTCAGTACGACACAGTGCCAGTCTCCCTCAGTACAACACAGTGCCAGTCTCCCCTTAGTACGACAGTGCCAGCCCCTCAGTACGACACAGTGCCAGTCTCCTCAGTACGACACAGTGCCAGTCTCCCTCAGTACGACACAGTGCCAGTCTCCCTTAGTACGACATCAGTGCCAGTCTCCCTCAGTACGACACAGTGCCAGTCTCCCCTTAGTACGACACAGTGCCAGTCTCCCCTTAGTACGACACAGTGCCAGTCTCCCTCCATACGACACAGTGCCAGTCTCCTCAGTACGACACAGTGCCAGTCTCCTCTCTACACACATTACAATATTTTACACGTGAAAATTTTTTATTTCTTTCGTGTTGATAATTAATAACTTTCAGCCAAATTTCGCCAACTTGTTACATTTTCATGACAGACAGGCAAACAGACCAACAGACAGAGAAAGCGAAGGAGAGAAAAGAGAGGGAGACAACGGAACGTATAAATAAGGAGACAGAGAGAATGACAGGACAGAAAAATACTTATTAAATGATAATAAAAATACACCAATTAATAATAAATCACAATAAATGATAAAGACGAGACGAGAATAATAATAAATCACAATAAATTGATAAAGACGAGGCGAGAATCCTGATATAATTCAACACGGTTCATTTCTTGTCAAAATAACCACTCGGTGTAATGGCAGGTGAATACTGGCCATTTCATAACTAATTAATCACCATTCGAACACAAATTGCCACGACTGAACGATATTTTCTGCACTAGTTACATCACCTGGTATATATTAAAGGCGTCAATATGTTCCAAGCATTAGGTTTAAAATTTTACGATTATTTTTTTTTTTATGTTATGGTTCGTGTTATAAATGTTGTTGTTGTTGTTGTTTTTGTATGTTTTCTCTAGTTCGTTACTTATCAAAACAATTTATATTTAATTTTCTATTTACATTAACTCACATTACATCATTACTACTCACAATCACTCATTCATACTCATATTAACATACGTTCATACATACAATCATTAACTCACAATGCCTCATATTCACTCCCATTCATTAATTGTCATATCTAAGTCACAATTACTCAACACTGATCTACTTTCAATTGCAATTATTCTCTTAACACTTTCGCACATATGGTAATTGGTCGCTCGTTATGTTAGCACACTTCCAATTTCACACATCTCACACCTTCAAATTTCTATGATTAAAAGTCCACACAGGTAATAACTCAAATTTGCACAGGTAAAGTTTGCCATATTAATATTGTTTTGCTACCATGATTCTGAGAGAGAGAGAGAAAGACAGACAGACAGACAGACAGACAGACAGAGACAGACAGACAGACAGACAGACAGACAGAGAGATGGACAGTCAGACAGACAGTAGACAGACAGATACAGAGCAGACAGGCAGATAGGACAGACAGGACAGAGCCAGACAGAGACAGACAGACAGACAGACAGATAGACAGAGATAGACAGATAGACAGATAGACAGACAGGATAGACAGATACAGACAGACAGACAGACAGGAGGAGAGAGATAGACAGACAGTCAGACAGACAGACAGACAGACAGACAGACAGACAGACAGACAGACAGACACAGACAGACAGACAGACAGACAGACAGACAGACAGACAGACCTTACCCACTAAACAGCAACATAAACCAAATCACATCATCAACAGCTTGTTAACATAAACAGTCAGCAGGTACTTAACGATCCCTCGAGCCTTTTCCTAATTGGCTGACAGGGTGAAATACCTTAGGAACCCCTCGTTAGGCTCCCTGAAGGATGTTCTTATTTTTTTTTTTTTGCTACCATAAGAGCTTGGTGTTAGTGTGTGTAGGTGTGTGTGTGTGTGTGTGTGTGTGTGTGTGTGTTCAGTGTGTCTGTGTGTGTCTGTGTGTGTGTGTGTGTGATCACTGCCTCATTCCCTCCCTATCTTCCTGTACCATCTCTCCTCTTCCCACATTAAACCCCCTGTCATACCTAGTGAAAGATAACTATTTGTGGGTCTCATTCTGGATGTATTACCATATATGGGATCACAGTGCCCCACCAGTACATGACTTGTATTTATGACTCTAATAAGAATTCAATTTCTCACGTAATATTGATCATGTTTTACCCACCGAGTTATTTGTTTATTTTATGTTTCTCATCACTGCTTTCTGTCTATTTCTGTCACACACACAAACACACACACACACGCGCCCACACACACACACAAACACACACGCGCCCACACACACACACGCCCACCCACACACACACACACACACACACAGGTCACATGCCCACACACACACACAGGACGTTCTCCCACACACACACACACACACGCGCCCACACACTCTCTAACCTACACAATGTAGGTGTATGTGTGTATGTAATATGACCGACAACATCACAAAAAACTCAACAGTATCGCTACACCTGACCTATTTTTCACCCCCAACACAATACTCCGTACCAGCCGCTACCCGATGCTATAACAATCACCCCAGATAACTTAATTAACAAACAATTACATTTAACATTTATCTTCAGTGGAATAACTTCATGCATAGGATATAGAACGAGCATCATAATAATAATAATAATAATAATAATAATAATAATAATAATAATAATAATAATAATAATAATAATAATAATAATAATAATAATAATAATAATAATAATAATAATATAATAATAATAATAATGGCTAATAATAATAATAATAACAATACAATAATAACAATACAATAATAATAATAATAATAATAATATTAGAGTAATGAAATGTGGGCAAGTTACATCCGTAGACTTTCACGTAATGAGTCTTCTCTTGCAGGCCACCCCAGTCATTACCATACATTAACACCTCTCTGACTGCTAAATCTTATGGAAAATCTCTCCTTTTATCACAATCAATACAGTTACTTGTTCGATTAAGTCACTGATGTTTTTATCGAGAGGAAAAACCTTTCGTCTTTATTACAATTATTTTGTCACTACAATCAGTTGCTATAGGTTAGGTTAGGTTAAGTTAAGAGCACTTATTATCTTAGACCATAAATTAATATATATACTTATATAAACCAGCAGTAAATGTACAAGTTATAGCACAATGCAGGTATTAAGTAATAGACGTACATATGACAGGCAAAAGAGGGCAAGACTCATTAGACAACTCCAACACACAAACGAACGATCAGATGAAGGAGGTTTATACCCAGTGACTTATTTATATAAACTCTTACGATAATTAAAATTTCCTATAACAACTGTGGCTTTGGAAACAGACATGGATAAAATATATATATATATAAACGGAAATAATCATGCACTTTCTATTGTATACGTGACCATGCTGAAATATATCCCCATGCTGAGATATAACATTTAATACTTGTTTCCGTTGCCACATTAAAATATAGTACTCTACCTTTAATGTTTCATATTGGTTGCCAAATCTTACCTCCTTCAACCACTGAAACAGATATAACATTTATTAGACACGAGGAAGCTGCTCTGGGAGGAACACATAAGTTACACCAACACATTGATGATGGTTACGTTTTCTATCATGCAGTTTAATACCCGTTTTCTGTTTCTCCGACTTTGTGTAGGGGAAACAGTACTATATTGACATCACCGTGTACATAGTCTCAATAATCAGGTGAGTCTTAGGTTACTGAGTCCTAAATAAGGAACTGTGCAATCTACTACAAGAAATGTGTGGTAAAATATTTAGTTGAATTATGGTAGTTTACTGTATATCAGGTTTACCAGGAATACAACACAAGTGAAGCAATGTATAGGGTTTACACAAGACGTTTCTGTACGGTCGTTACACATGCTAGGCGCCACCCCGATATCATCATACTGTCCCCTCGTTGAGAGTATCCGACACAAGGGATCCATTGTGTCGGGAACTCACGCTATATTTAAAAGAGATATTATATGACCAAGGTTTATTATTATATTGCGCATAGAATATAAAAAAAATATCTACTTTAGAAATTAATTTATATCCTGCTATCGTGGTAGGTTTTGGTTACAAGTGGTGTGTGTGTGTGTGTGTCTGTGTGTGTCAGTGTGTGTGTGTGCCTGTGTGTGCATATAAATAATAAGATGCACATATTTATCTTTCCATTTAACATCATCGGGTTATTGTTTATTAATAAATTACTTTTTGTAGTAATATAATAATAATGTCATTCTTCTCTTTTAAACAATTTGAATATTTTTAACATTTGGTCAGACTCTCATTATAAGGCCGAGACACATTACAACCTACCCAACCACCTTCATAACCTACCTTAAGGCCTGTACAACCTGCCTTAAGGCCTGTACAACGTAACCAAAGGCCTTCACAACCTACCCACCTTGACTGCCTTAAAATTCTCCATGACATCACAACATTGACCACAAGTGAAAAAGAAAAGCATTGATTTTTATCGAGTCTCGACAAACCAAGGGACTGCTTCATGACTTATATATCAGGTCTTATGTGAACAGCGTTGTCAAATGTCACCCAGACACCGAACTTAATAAATTATGTAATACTAGGCGCTCTGTTGGCCAGCGTCTGCGTCGAGTGCTGTGCTTCCTGATGAGTTTCAGCCCCCTAGCGGTGACAGAGTAAACTTTAGCCCCCTAGCGGTGACAGAGTAAACTTCAGCCTCCTAGCAGTGACAGAGTAAACTTCAGCCCCCTAGCGGTGACAGAGTAAACTTCAGCCCCCTAGCGGTGACAGAGTAAACTTCAGCCTCCTAGCGGTGATAGTAAACTTCAGCCCCTAGCGGTAACAGAGTAAACTTCAGCCCCCTAGCGGTGACAGAGTAAACTTCAGCCTCCTAGAGGTGATAGTTAACTTCAGCCCCTAGCGGTGATAGAGTAAACTTCAGCCCCCTAGCGGTGACAGAGTAAACTTCAGCCCCCTAGCGGTGACAGAGTAAACTTCAGCCCCCTAGCGGTGATAGTTAACTTCAGCCCCCTAGCGGTGATGTATATGACTAGCTCTCTAGCGATGACAAATTTACGTCGACCTTAGTAGTAACAGTAAATTATGGCCACCTGGCGTCTTCTCTACTGAATTTACGGACACACACTATCGGTCACAGACTGTATGGCTGGATGGGGATTACTAAACTTTATAATATTAGTTTTGTTTTCTTTCAGCTGGAGGTTAACAGCCTCAGCGAAACATCGATCCCATTAAGAAAAAAAAATAACCTGGTAATTTCAGATCAGTCGAGATTTAGTCGAATTATACACAGAGTTCTTCCATAGCGTTCCCAGCCTCCCGCTAACGCCAAGGAAAACAAGAGACTCTTTGTTTACTTACGTGCAAGGCTTTTTCTCCTGAGCTTGGAGACGCGTCTGACGAGGGCCGGACCAGCGTTGGAGAGCATCCGAGACAGTCTCCTGATGGGGTTCTTGGGTTTCTCTTCCTTGTCATCTTCGCTCGGTTCTCCTGAAGAAGGTGAAAGAGAGGACGATATTGAGATAATGAGAGAGAGAGAGAGAGAGAGAGAGAGAGAGAGAGAGAGAGAGAGAGAGAGAGAGCTAATATTTAATGTGTATATTAATTTGTTTTTTTATTCATATTAATTAGTCAGGTAAGGTTAATTTACCCATAATTTCTCACCGCTTTCACCTCACCAGATCCTCACTACTTTCTTTATAACTTTCTCTCCTACTTTCTTCACAACTTTCTCTCCTACTTTCTCCATAACTTTCTCTCCTACTTTCTCCATACCTTTCTCTTCTTCCTCATTTACCCCCCAAGCCTAGACACTTACCCCTCACCAGACCTCTACTACTTTTCCTTCTCTCCTTCCCAATCTCTCCCTCTCAACCAACATCCCTCTCAACCAACATCCCTCTCAACCAACATCCCTCTCAACCAACATCCCTCTTAACCAGCATCCCTCTCAACACTCACCATCCTTGTTCGGTATGTGGACAGGCGGATGGACAGAGCTCCGTCGGCGACTCTTGGAGCCTCTACGTGACTCCCTCCGAGAGACGCGTCGGGAGAGCTGTCGTCTGGGGCCTCCTACTGTGCTGTTCCGACGGCCCCGTGATGCCCCGACCATAGCCCCGCCTGCCCCGTTGCTTCTCTGCCGCACCAGTAAGGGGATTCCGCTGTGAGAAAGAAAGAGAACAGAAAAGAAAAAATAGCCTTAGTAATTGTGTTTCATGGTTTTATTAGAGAGAGAGAGAGAGAGTGAGGCAGAGACAGACAGACAGGCAAAGAGACAGAAACAAAGACAGCGAGAGAGAGAGGTAAGGAGAGAGAGAGAGAGAGAGAGAGAGAGAGAGTAAAAGACATACAAAGATCAGTTATATTAGGTTAAGTTAGGTTAAGTTAGGTTAAGTTAGATTGGTTAAAATTCAATTAGATATGGTTAAGGTTAGTTATACTCCAGGTCTTATATACTGTACTTTTATATCGTACTACCACCCTATACCTAGAAATATTATACTATAGCCCTCCTAACACCACAATCTATAATATAACGAACGAACACACACAAGGCGGGGCAGTCAAGGGGTCAACACACACACACACACACACACAAGGCGGGGTAGTCAAGGGGTCAACACACACAAGGTGGGGTAGTCAAGGGGTCAACAACACCTTAATAGAATTACCAAAATAATGTCCATCGGAGGGAGGGAGGAGGAGGGATTACCAAGATGCGGGAGGTGGTCAGAGGCTCTTATGCAGGGAGTCCTTTATCCTGCGGTACGGGCCATGTTGTGTGTGTGTGTGTGTGTGTGTGTAAGGGGGGGAGTTTGGTATATAAACAGAACAAAGTAATAGCTTAGAATGCGTCGTTAAATGTTTTTGTTGAGATATTTACACTCTGTCTGTCAGTACGTCACGCCGATGGCTGCCACGTGTAATAAAGTGGCCCAGAACAACTGATGACTCTTGCTGTAGGAGAACTGTGATGTGTTGTAAGGCGGCCGTTAGTGAGCCTTCCGGGCACACGTCATCGACCCACTAAGGCCTAGGGGGAGGGGAGGGGGAAATAAGAGTAAAAAGAAATAAAAAATAGAAAAGGAAAAGGTTGTATTAATCTACACCGCGAAGATGCCGGAAAACCAACTTTTTAAAGTGAGACAGATTGCATAAGTATGGAAACACAGGAGGAGGCAGAACATTCCACAGTTTGGCTGTGTGAGGAAAGAAGGATGTACGATAACGAGTTATTCTAGTGTAACCGACATCCACAGAGAAACGGCCTTGCCGGCGGTACACAGGATGCCAAATCCACCGAACATTGCCCGTTAAAGTACCTGTAAAAGAGAGAGAGTGAAGCAACATTGTGGCGAAGAGAAAGGGAGGAGAGATTATCAACTAAAGGAGGAGAGTTAATAAGACGAAATGCCTTTGATTCCACCCTATCTAACAGTTGGAGAGCCACCCCAGATATGAGAGCAGTACTCCAAGTTAGGACGAATGAATCCCTTATCTACTTGAACATTGCTCAGGAGTGAAGTAGCTACGGCATCTGTACAGCATTCCCAGCTCGATTGGGTGTGTGCAAGATAATAACTCTGTCTGTCTGCCTCAGTCTGTCTGTCTCAGTCTGTCTGTCTCAGTCTGCCTGTCTCTTTCTGTCAATCTTACTATCTTCTGCTTCTTCTACCGGTCTGTCTCTACTTGTTTCAGTCTCTGTTACTGTTTTATTTATTTCACACTCATTCTTCCCCCTCTATCACTCTTTCTCCTCTTCCCCTCACTAGGTATACTCACCGTGCAGCTGAGACTCTCCTCACGAGGCGACTGAGGAAGCGCTTCACAGTCTCAAGAGCGAGGTTGAAACGCTCCCTGCCCTTCCCTGACGCCCAGCTCTCTCTCTCCTCTCCCTTTGGTCGGGTTTGGTTACATTGGTCGGTTACACATAAGTACTGGTGTTTACATGATGAGTCTATTTTATTCTGTAATTTGGGCAGTTGTTGTTTTGTGAAAATCATGATTGTATTTAACGATCTCCCAAATATAGATTAATGTACACAGGAATACATATAATTGATACGGTTGATCGTAACTTTTTCTTGTTAATTTGAACAACAACTACCAGGATAAGTTATAGTCGCCCCATAAGACACTGTTATCATCAGTACCTCAAGACACAAATATTTCAGTGAGTGACAGAGCAAAGGGAAGAAGTCCGTAAGGAAATAATTCTGACTGAAAACATCGACGTGTAAGATGAACGAAGGTATTTATATATATATATATATATATATATATATATATATATATATATATATATATATATATATATATATATATATATATATATATATGAATAAAATCCTTCAAATATCCTTCAATTATATCAGTTAAAAGAAGCCTTGATGACCCATTATAGTGTGTGTGTGTGTGTGTGTGTGTGATAATATGAGCTTTTTTCGTTCCATGTACACTTCGTTATGTCTACTTACATCTACTTGCTATCAATGTGTACACTCATGCGCTGGTGTCATGTATGGATTCATTAGAAGAGTCATGAACGTTTTTCTTCCTGACGTACACTACATTATGTATACACTAATCTATCTCTGCTGTGTGCGTATTACTGAGCTGTAATGATTTTAACTTTTGTTTCATGTACACCAGCTTATGTGTACATTGACACTTAACTCTCATGTGCTGTACGTATTAACTTGACCTGGCATGACTGTTTCTTAACCCGTGTATACCACCTTACGTGTACACTGCCACTTCACTCATGTACGTAATAACCAAGCCTGTCATGACTGTATTTTCTGGTGTACACTGATCTATGTAAACTTTATCACTGTATTCTTGCTGTTTCTTCCTCACTCACTGTATTCATCAGCTCTTCCTATTTCCTCCTTTCGTTTCGTCTCATCAGGTGAGTGGAAGAAGGGAGGAATAGGGAGGAAGGGAGGAATGGGGAGGAATGGAGGAATGGGGAGGAGGTGAGTGTGAATATGTGTGAGTAAACAGAGGAAGAGGTAAAAATATGAGAGAGAGAGAGAGAGAGAGAGAGAGAGAGAGAGAGAGAGAGAGAGAGAGATGAGGAAAAAACAAGAGATAATGGAGGAGTGTGGTGAGGGAGAGAGTAGTGAGGGAGAGAGTAGTGAGGGAGAGAGTAGTGAGGGAGAGAGTAGTGAGGGAGAGAGTTGTCGTTATTATTATCTTGTTCATCTGCATCATTGTTGTTATTGTTATCACGAGTACAATCATTACTATGTCCACAACCTTTATTATTACTCTGGTTATGATTCACAACACGTTATAGTACACCCAGTGGTCACCTCTTATTGATATTATACAGTGGAAATGTCACGCCTGCAGGACCTCCCCCCCCGCCACCTTCTCCTCCTCCTCCTCCACCATCATCTCCTCCTCCTCCTCCTCCTCCTCCTCCTCCTCCTCCACCACCATCGCCCCCACCACCTCCTCCTCCTCCTCCTCCTCTCCTCCTCCTCCTCCTCCGTCACCTCATATAATATTCCTTAAAACCTCTCACCAGTGGAACGCTTTTCGCTTCCTCTTTGTTTCTCTCCTTCCCTCATTACCTCCCTCTCCTCTCCCTCTCATCCTCCTTTCTTCCTTTCACTTCTTTCCTGCCCCATCCCTCCCTCTCCACCCCTTCCCTCCCCGAGTCTTTCTTACCCTAGCAACTGGATAGAAGTGGATGGATGGATGGATGGTTCTACTTGCCTGTGTTTTGTTTACGTCTCTCTCTCTCTCTCTCTCTCTCTCTCTCTCTCTCCCAGGCTGTGAGATAGAGTTAGGTATAAAACATTCAGTCATCAAAGGTCATATCCGAGGCGATATAAATGCCAAGGACTTTACCCCAACCTTTAGCATGGCTCCTGGCACTCATTCCTTCCTCACCTGGCACTCATTCCTTCCTCACCTGGCACTCATTCCTCTCATCTGGCTCATTCCTCCCCTCATCTGGCACTCATTCCTCCCTGGCACTCATTCCTCCTCACTTGGCACTCATTCCTTCTCATCTGGCACTCATTCCTCCTCACCTGGCACTCATTCCTTCCTCATCTGGGCACCCCCATTCCTTCCTCATCTGGCACCCCCATTCCTTCCCTACCTGGCACTCATTCCTTCCTCATCTGGCACCTATTCCTTCCTCATCTGGCACTCTATTCCTTCCCTCACCTTGGCACTCTTGGCCCCTTCCTCACTTGGTCATCATTCCTCCTCACTACATCATTCCTCCTCACTTGACCCATCATTCCTCCCCACTTGACCCATCATTCCTCCCCTCACTTGCCATCATTCCTCCCTCACTTGACCCATCATTCCTCCCCCCTCACTTGACCCATCATTCCTCCCTCACTTGACCCATCATTCCTCCCTCACTTGACCCATCATTCCTCCCTCACTTGACCCATCATTCCTCCCTCACTTGACCCATCATTCCTCCCTCACTTGGCCCATCATTCCTCCCCTCACTTGACCCATCATTCCTCCCTGCTTCAGCCATCATTCCTCCCTCACTTGGCCATCATTCCTCCCCTCACTTGGCCATCATTCCTCCCTCACTTGACCCATCATTCCTCCCTCACTTGGCCATCATCATTCCTCCTCACTTGACCCATCATTCTCCCTCACTTGGCCATCATTCCTCCCTCACTGACCCATCATTCTCTCACTTGACTCCATCATTCCTCCTCACTGGACTCCATCATTCCTCCCTCACTTGACCCATCATTCCTCTCTCACTTGGCCATCATTCCTCCCTCACTTGACCCATCATTCCTCCCTCACTTGACCCATCATTCCTCCCTCACTTGACCCATCATTCCTCCCTCACTTGACCCCTCATACCTTCCTCACCTGGCCAATCACTCACTTGACCCATCATTCTCCTCACTTGACCCATCATCACTTGACCCATCATTCCTCCCTCACTTGACCCATCATTCCTCCCTCACTTGACCCATCATTCCTCCCCTCACTTGCCCATCATTCCTCCTCACTTGGCCCATCATTCCTCCTCACTTGACCCCTCATACCTTCCTCACCTGGCCAACAGTCCTACTTCAGGTTAGGTTAGGTTCTAGTTACTAAGGAGAACATAACGTCATTGTAAATATGGTATGGAGAGCAGCAGCACCATTGTAAACATATC